TGCCCCTCTGCCTCTCTCACTCATGCCTCCAGCCAAATTAACTTGTGTTTTCCCTCTCCTGGAAGGCCTCCCACCGGCTAGAGGTTCGTTTAGATTGGATTCGTCGAGCACGTGTCCAATGGTTGCTGCGTCACCCTCGCCTGCCCTAAGTGACGAGTCTGTTGGCAGTGAGGAGACAGCACCGATGCACTACGACTTCCTGTTGTCTGCTCTGGATCTAGCCCGCGGCACACAGCAACCGCTTCCACGACAATCCGCGCGTCGCTACTCAATGACTACCCAGCACCTGGAGTTGGCGAGGTTGGTTGATGGACCAGTGTGGAAGGAGTGCGAGCGACTTGACGATGTGGGTTTCACCACTGTGAAGGTGGATCCAGAGGTGGTTGCGGAAGAGGCTGTTTGGTGTCAGGCAGTGGAGTGCCAGATTTTCACAGCTTCCTTGGTTCCGCCAACGCCGTGTTCAACGGACTCGTTGTCCTCCACCTCACCGCCATTTGTCTTCCACGCGCCGAGTGGAGAGTTGGGGGTCGCGGCCCGAGTGTCGCCCGCAGTCGATTTCCAGTCCCTTAACCCCTGCCCACTGAGTAATCCCCCGGACCCACTTTGGTCCAACTCTGTTTGTCTCGACAGTGCCAGGTTTTTTAACATTTTATGATCATTTTCTGAATGGAAAATGATATAATTTGTCGTCCATGTGTTGTTATTTCAGGGCAGTGACCCTAACTATACCTTTTGTTTAAACGAGTACATCGCTGCGTTCTGGGGTTAAGGCAAGTTTCTCATGTTGTGAGTGGGACAAATAATTTACCAAGGTCGTTAAAGTTGTCATCATTTAAAGGCATTGTGCATTTCTGTTCCTCACAAGTGCCACAAAAATTAACCCTCCCAGAGTGCATTTCTCCTCAGGTCAATGAAAATTTGATTTCATTTGCTTCTACCTGATTGCAGCAAGTAGTTTACATTAAACTATTTTAAGTGGCCAAAATTCGTAAATTATACAATCTTATTTGGGAAGTTGGGCATTAGGTAACTAAACCTTTTGAAAGCACTACTAAAAGGGACAAATATTCAGTATGGTGAATCACACTCCTACCTAAAGCTTACCAATAAAATGTGTATCCTCCAATATTTGGCATTGTGTGGTTTCTTCCTTAATTAGGGGCATGACGTGTGGGGTTGTGGGGGATACTGATATTTTTACTACTAGTGGAATATTTTGTGTACTCACATCTCAGAGCAATTTATTCATGACTAGTTCATTTGTATTGTGCTTTCTATTCCTCATTATCTGATTTATGCTTCAACCAACGCCATGGATCCATCAACAGCTACGTCGATATCTTGACCCAAATCTGCGCATACATCAGAGTGTTTTTATAAGAGGTCTGCGAACGACGCCTTTGCAACTTAGGTATTTGATGGGAATGGAATATTCTGTTGCGTGCAAGGAAATTGTTGTACATTTTGGATTGTTTGTTGTTGCAGCACCTTGGTCTGGGTTCGATCCTGCTCCCAAAAAGTCCACTTTCGATGGAGGAGATTCATACAAATTTCCGCATTGGTTTTTATCCTCCCTCCTCCCATTTACAATAATTTGGTGTGCAATTAGTAGCTCTAGGTACTTTCAACCATGCCTATTAGCATCTGCCTAGGACAACGACCGCCGTTGCAATTTGGTAAGCATTACCAGTCAAATTGGTTTGTCCGTGCTCAATCCATTACTCCAGGTAGTTCGACAACCTATCTAGGCAAAGTTTGACTTACAGATGAACCACCATACAGATCTGTGTCTTGGGGTTTAGTGCATTACTTTTATGAAAGTTTTCTGTCAGTAGGATTTCCCTCACAGCACTTGTCAGGGTTAGCATTTTTCTTAATCGGTAAGTGGTGCATTTGATACAAATACAAATACAACAAAACAAGTAATTTTCTGACTTAGGTTGTATTAAATTTATGTAATTTTTTTCATTTTAAATAAATGTTACATTAAAGTCATAAAGTTGTTTTTTAAAAAAGACAAATTTTAAGCTTGCATATCTAGTCAACTTTCAAACAACCCTTTACTTTGTTGACTATCCGTTTTCGTGTCAATCTCATTCGAAATCTGCGCCTTCGCCACTTCCGACCACGTCATCATCATCATCATCGTCATCATCATCTTTCATTGCATCCAAGTGACGTTTTGCTTTATTTCTGCAGTTGGCTCTCTTGTGTTTACTGTCATCTTCACCTTCTTCATCTTCCTCGTCCTCTTTGGACTCACAACTGTGTTGGTCCTCATCTTCGTCCGCTTTCTCACCACTGTTGTTAACATCTGGATTCTCTTCGTCATCATCAGCCTCGGTCACATCTTCATTGTCGTCATCGTCGTCGTCGTCGTCGTCGTCGTCTTTCCTTTCATCGTCATCATCATCATCACCATCATCATCAATTTTGTCGTCATCAGCATTGTCCAGAGTCTCATCGAAGTTATCCTCTTGATCCTTCCCCGCAACCCTGTTCTTGCAGCCCCCTTTGTATTTGCATTTATCCGTGTGGTTGCTAACAAGAGTTTCTCGTTGCACACTCCCACTAACATCGTCTTTATGGCCTTGGCACCCATTGCTACTCTTGTTAACCGTGGCATTTTCATTATTCCCCACAACTTCAGCGCCATCGCAGTGGTCAGGCTGTGTACCATTGCTATTGTTTTTATCCTCGTTAATTTCCACTTCGACGCTTTCGAAATAGTATCCGTCATGTTCCTCATCGGTGTTATTTTTTTTCTCACCTACGGGCCCGTCGGTAACCTCTAACGGCTTGTCATACGTTCCATTTTTGTTCTTGTGGTCTTTATGAATGATTGATGCATTTCTTTCTGTTAATTCAGGAGGTTCGCTGGAATTATGCGGTACCAGATGGTTGGGGTACCCATGTAACTCGGTATGGTTACCTGGCAAGTGTCGTTTTTCGTCGTGTGTGTTGTTAAACGAACGCCAGTGTCCGTGATCTGTTACTGACATCTGTTCCAAGTCCGCTTCATGGTGGCTTTCAGTCGAGTTCATATTTTGCTCATTGTGGAGATATTCGTCACCTCTTTCTGTAGAATGGTGTTCCTGTGCTTTTCCATCGATGGTACCGAGGGGTTTGCCTTGCAGTATAATCAGCATCGCAGCGAGAGCCACCAGAAGTAGTTGAACAGGGACCTGCATATTTGACACAGCAAAGACAGTAATAGTTCGCAAGAGATGCTCTAACGACTCCTTTTATATAAGGCCTCTGACCTCGTTTCCTAACGTTTGGTTCTTAAGTCGTACACTCATGTGCTTAGCTTGCATGTTTGTGTGTGCGTGTGTGCTTAGCACTCAGTGCAGATGCGCGGAAGTCAGGTTAGACTGCAATATTGTTGTTTCCTGGGAAACTAGACTGGATACCAACCATTGTACAGCCTGCTAATCAAGCCAATAATTTCAAAGGTCTTGAAGATGTTTACGTATCCTAAAACGGAAGAGTTCTCTGTAGCCTTTGCACGGAAAAGTGTAAGAGAAAATACACGCGAGTTCCCTTCAAATTCACTCTTGAAGGCATTTAAAAGAAGAAGGTAGAAAATGAATTTCCTCAAAAAAATGTCTGAATTAAACCAGGAAGTGGTGACTTTATTCTTAGTACTTGAATCTCGGCGATGCACAGAATGCCGCTCATTGCCCATGAGCATTGGCAACAATTATTCACCACACACACACACACAGAGAGAGAGGAAATCTTATTTAACATCTGATTAGCATCCAAATAATCGAGTTTGTTGTGCTCCCTCACTCCTCGAACCTCGTTTTCTGCCAACTTCGTGGGTCGCCTTGATAGTTAAATTTCAGCACGTGTATCATTGGGAGTTACTGTCAAGCCGCATGACTGCGTGCTTGGTTAAGTTGTCTGTGCCTGCTCGCAAAGCTCATTCTCCGCAAATTGAATTGATCCATTGTGGGTTCGCAAGTAGTTTGTCTTCTGTGTAGTTCTTGCTGTGGACAGAAGGCGGTCGTAGGGACCCGGATTAACTTGCTTTCTGTCTATTTCGCGTTCATGAACATTGCGTAATTCAAAGGTTACAAGGATACATTTTGCACTAGTTCAACTTAAATGACTAAACTAATTAACAATCAGCAAAATCACTAACTATTTTCTGCCCAGGGGTACAATAAGGCACCAAGTAATCACAAAATACCAGGTTTTAAATGACAATATCTATTAATTGTGCAATAGTAATAGTAATACGAATTAAGAGGTCATCGGGGGCTCATTTGGTCATAATGGAGAAACTGACACTACTAGAAAGCGAGCCGATGTACAAATATGTTATTTTACATTCGACCTAGTCGCAGAAATTTTCATCCGGCAAAACTTCTGTCCAAGCAGTATCGCTAGATGTACCAGATTAGCGAAATGAGATGCTTTAGCTTGCCTGGTCCTCAGTTGGAACTGTGTGATCCGTATCTCTGAGTAAGGCTAAAATTGGCAGATCATTCAACTAAATATGCTACATTTAGGTGCCTAGCCTTGGTCTTTCGCAATTATTTCGTGAATTGGGCTTTCGATTCTTGAAATTTCCCGAGGTATCTTTGCAACATTTTTACATTTTAGTTGCAAAAACTTGAAAGTTCTGTAAATTAACACTAACCTCTTCTATGTAGTTACAGGAAACCTCAGCATACCACGCGATAATCTTTTTAAAAACGGGATCGACTGTACAACGTAGCGTCTCGTTCTATTAATCTCTTTCTCGTGGTCTATAAATGCGTGTGCTATCTTCAAAAATTGCATTGTTTAGGTACTAAGGCCTCAAATCTGCCCTCCTACCCTCAAGATGTTATGCGTTGTGTGTGAGAAAGATATCTCGAAATCAGAGGCATGGGAGGTTGAACAAAATGTGATGTCGCAAATGAGATCAAGCAACACATGTGTAGTAAAAGAAATTCCCGAAAGAAGCACCTGAACGAACGCTTGAACTATTTTTAATCTCTTTAATTTCTACGTGATATTAATAACTAAATTATCGAATGAGTGCTGCCGTATGGTATAATGGCGGCCTTTGACAGAATGCGTCTGCCTCTGGACCACAGAACTATTGTCAAGTTTATTCCTCGCCAGCAACACTTCGGATATTAAAATGGCACCAAGTAGTGTTTGTCTTGTACCACGCAAATCAGACGAGTTATACATCGAAATCACGAACTTACGAAACACAAATTAGACAAAATTTTGAAGAGTTTTTGCTCTTGACTAGATAGGGGGGACATTTAGTAATCTAGAAGTAAAATAATTCATCCTTTTTGCGCTAAAAATTATTAGTAAGGAACCGACTTCTGATACACTTCATACTTCAACAACGTATCGACATCGATACCCAGGTGTTGCATAAAAGCTAGAATTGATTTTGGATCAAAGTGGTGACGTTAGGCTAAGCGATAAGCCTTGTTGTCGGCGAACTTCAGGCGTTCAGCATGCCTATCTTCATGTTGTAGTGGCGTGGTTAGCACTGCCCTACAGCCCTCTGGTTAACAGCCGTTACGAATCGAGACAAGGGGGAAAAGGGGCGATAGGGAACACAACCGCTTGTTAGTGCCATACCAGCCAAGTGGCTTTGTGTGCGCACGAGTACGCGTGCGTAACAGACGACTGCTGACAGGAGCCAATAACAAAGGGTGCGAGTCAATGGTACAGTCGGGTCATCATACCTGTATCACTCACGCGAAGTGGCTGTCTGGTCACTACAATCTCAGTTTGATTCACGGATATCTGTGTGGCGCTATTAAGTGGACATGACGCGATGGCCCCGGTGTGGTTCAAGATCACATAGCAGGGATTTCAGTGCACCTTCTCACTGTATCTTTCTAACGTTAGTACCTGATCAAACTATCACGACTTTGACTCGTTTGTGTTCGTATTCCTGTTAGTTAAATAAGAATTGACATCCGTACCATCGACAGCAAATCCGCAACAAATTTCTCCACGCAATTCCCCGCTAATAGCATCTTCGTGGGCAAGACACTTGCTGATTGCACTAATTCCACATCCGTATTGACTGATTGCAGTAGTGTTAATCCAGGTTAATCCATCGAGTCATGGGCATCCATTGCAGCCTGCCTGTCAGTGTGGCAGGAGAAATCCACTCTGTATGAGGTCTTGTCTGTGTTGTAGTGCCAGAACACACGCTAGACTCTGGGCGTGTTAATGTGCCTAATCCAAGTGAAGTTTGCTTAACCGAGGGAGGTAGTTGCGGTGTTGTATAATATTTGTCTAATTAGTGCCATTTAATGAAAGCGAGCGCATCAGCCTTATTCCAGTTAATGATGAAAGCAACTTTGGAAAAACACTTCAGCCGATAAGCCCCACATACCACTTCACGATGCAGTCCAAATAGAAGATATAAACAGCAAGTGTGGATAACACATCATTTAATTTCACGACTTGTGATAATCAAATACCACCAAACACCAAGTCTGATTAATAGCAACAATATCAGGCACTGCTGTGCGTCAGTAACCAGCAATACAAATTAACTGAATTTCATTTCTCGGGCTCTCTTCGGTACCTGTCTCATTGGACGCCTATCCACTTTCCTCGCAAATATATCATGGCCTTCTTCGCCACCGATGTCATGCTTGATATGGGATTTATCAGTCCAATGTTCTCCATTTTCCTCGTTATCTGTTTCATCTGCCTCGTCATCTGTTTCTTTATAACTTTTCAACGCACCCATGTCATGTAAAAGTCGATCTTCCCTGAGGTCCTTTTTGTGGTGGTGATCGTGGTGGTGGTGGTCATGGTCATGGTCAGAGCTCATGTGGTGTCTTCTGTGAACTGATTCCGTCAGGCCAGAAACCAAGAGGTGGGCAATCACGAGCAGCAAGCAGAGACACTTCATGGTTCGTTAGGACGACCAATACGCCCCGACTACTTCGGCGCTGCATTTATACACGAACTGGTGTCGACAATGCCCTGCCACTGGCTCCAACCAGAGGACACGTGAGTGCACACACTTGTGGTGGGATGCTCAGCTTCGTACATCTGATTGGTCGCTCATTGCAACTGCGTTTCGTTTGTCGTATTTGGCTAGCAGACCATCATTAGTAAGGAACAGTAATTGCAAACTACAAGATATCATCACCCCAAGTAGACGTGCTACACAAATTGCAGATTTGAGTCAGTTACAAATGCGTGCAATGTTTGTTAACAGTTAGTTGTGTTTAAAATGAACTGTTCGAATAGATAGATGAATCTGCCAATAACAGAAATGTCTGCAGCTGAAAATTGGCATTCAGAAACCTGCTATCACACACGTTTTAATTCTGTGAACAAGTTTGATAGCCAGGCTCCAGAAGTGTCGGTCAAAGTACGTTTATCGTGAATAAAATAGTTGTAATGTTGGCCACTGGACGATTGCTTGGTATTTACCAGGTATGTGGGTGATGAGAACGATGTGGTAGCACTTGGCTCTTAGCTTTGCTAATGGCTCCAATTCCAGCACATGCGAGTGCGTAAGCGCGTGAGGGATGAGCAGGTTCCAACGACTGACTGATCTCTTCTGGCACACGAGTGCTGTCTGCCTCATTTGCCTAAACGACCATCAATTGGCAGTAGCTGTCCCTTAAACTAAACTTGACATCATCTTGAATAGACGTGAGATAAAATCTGCAAGTTTGTATCTCTTACTAGCGCGTACAGTGGCCGCTGACATTTTTTCAGAATTTAAAATGAATCTTGTATACCGGTTTTTGCAAATGTCAAGCACAAAAACGTCTTTATCAAAAAAGCTGCATTTACATATCTGCTACAACCGTTCCAATCTTTGACAGTTTATTAACAACAGAAACGCGAGATCAAAATGCCTTCCCAATGAGTAACACATTTGCCATTAGAGCCACTCGACGATCGCTAGATGATTCCCACGTATATAGATGTTGAGAACGATGGGGTTGCACACAACCAATTCAGAAATACAAAACCAAAACCTAATGATTGCACTTGCAACAAATTTTATAAGGAACCTAATTCACAGATGGGACTGCATGGTTTGGTCTTGCCGTATGTTCGCCTACTTTCAGTTCTTACCTACGAATTTGCATGTATTTGGCTGTACAGCAGCCACTTTACTTCCCTCGTTCCCTTCCCGATCGCCTATGCATCCCTTATGCCTCGACCTGCAGCTATCACACGC